TCTAAAATTTATATGAAAATACAAAGGACCTAGAATAGCCAAAACAATTTTTTATAAAGAAGAAAATAAGAGCCCTTACAATACTTGATTTCAAAACTTATTATAAAGCTACTATAATCAAGATATTATGGTATTTGCTAAAAGGAAAAAAATATATCAGTGAAACAGAAGACATAACACATATATAGCTAACCTCTGTATATAGGCATGCTCAAGCCTCTCCTATATTAAAAAAATACTTATGTTCCCTTCTATGGAGCTCCATAAAATCATTCTCCCCCTTCCCAGTTAAACTTCTCAAAAGAGTCTATACTCTTTGACAATCTCTTCTTCATCTCCCATTCATTGTTCAGAAACTGGCTTCTATCTCCCCACTGCTATTAAAAAAAAAATACTAAACCAAGAGTCATTTTATGAACTTATTTTACTTGATCTCTCTGCAGCACCTGACACTGATGATTTCTGCCACCCTTCTTGAAACTCTCTAAGCCCTTGGCTTCTGTAACATATCTCTCCCGTCTCTCCACTACGCACACTGGAGATTCAAAGATGAATATGACAAATTCTCAAACTTCAAGAAGCACAGACTGTAAAATGAGATAAATATATGCAAACAATCACAACACTTACAACACAGTGAAAAAGTACTATGATAATAATAGGTACAAAGTGCTATGATAGCTTAGTGATGGGAAAGAGAGGGAGCATGGTTCTAGGAGTAAACTAGCATGTACAAAGCACACGTATAAACAAGCATGGTTTATACAGGGAATTCAGTGGATAATGGTTGAGCTCATAAGTGTTGAAATCAAACAATCTGATTATACCACTTACTAGCTCAGTGAGGATAAAATAACAATTTCTATCTCACAGGTCTATTATGAAAATTAAACTAAATGCTATATATAAAACACTTAGCATAGGGCCTGGCATTTCTCAAAAGGTCTCAATAAGTGTTAACTCCTTCATGACAACAGACTAGGAATAAAAGAAAACTTCCTCAACCTGATAAAGGGCAGTTACAAAAAACCCACAGGTAATATCATACTTAATGTTGAAAGACTTAATGCTTCCCCCCTAACATCAGCAACAGGACAAGGATGTTAGCTCTCACCACTTCTATTTAACATTTACTGAAGGTTTTAACCAGGGCATCTAAAGCAAGAAAAAGACACAAAAGGCATCTACCTTGGAAATGAAAACATAAACTACCACTATTTACAGATGACATGATCTTACATATGCAAAATTCTAAATAATGTACTAATAACTATTAGAACTAAGAGTTGAACTAATAATAGTTCATCAAGGTTTAATGATAATGGAAATCAATTATATTTCTATACACTAGCAATGAACAATCCCAAACTGAAACAATTTCATTTAAAATATTATCAGGAATAAATTTAACAAAAAAAAGTATAAGACATACACTGAAAATTATAAATCACTGAAAGAAATTAAAGAACAACTAAATAAATGGAAGGACATCCAATAATGTTCACAGATTGGAGAACTTACTATTATCAATTTTCCTAGTTGGCTTAGAGATTCATAATCCAGATTCAATACAATCACTATCAAAATCCCAGCTATAACTTTTTTGAAATTTGAAATTGACGAGCTGACCCTAAAATTTATATGGAAATGCAAGTGAACGAGAAGAGCCAAAATAATCTTAAATAAGAACAAAGTTGGAGAACTCATACTTCATGACTTCCAAATTTACTACAAACCCACAGTAATCAAGACAATGTGATATTGGCATAAAGAGAGATGTATAAATCATTGGAATAGAATTGCAAGTCCAGATATAGACTTTTACATTTATAGTGAACTGATATTCTTCAATGGCGCCAAGATATTATAATTCAGTGGTCTGGGACAAATGGATATTGAAATGCAAAAGAAAGAAGTTGAACCTCTACCTCACACCATACACAAAAATTATTCAAAATTAATCATAGACCTAAATTGAAGAGCTAAA